TTCTCTAGGAGCATCCATGTTGCTGCAAATGGCGTTATGTTAATACTTTTATATAACTTATAAACTTACAAATAGCTCATTTACAACACTAACACAGAGGAAATGTCTTACCAAGTAGAAGATATTAATTTCATTTCCAATGTCCTCAGTAGAAGTAATAACTTCAGGGACTGTCTCATTGGCCGCAATTGAAATATGGTATTCACTTGCAGAGCTTGGAAGAATTAATTGGAAGAAGAAAAGTAAAACGCAACAAAATTTAACTTCTACTTGACCTCATTCTTTTTCTTTCTTCATATCAGGTAATTCCACACAACAAATGCTTATAGAGATTTCAAATCAAAGGCAAATTCTTTTACCCTGAAACCTATAGTTAAACCTTTAAGAGGATGAGAAAGACCATAATTTAATTCAGTAGCCACTGATGCTTATTTAGCTTTAAAATGCTAAAATATGCATAGTTTTTAACGTAAAAGTTTCATCATTACCAAGTTAAAAGTTTCCATAAATTTGCTAACATTGTTAACATTTGGTATTTTCAATTGTGATGAATTTTAAATAGATTTAAAAAATCTGTTGCCTTTTCACAATTTTAAGTCTTATATTTACTGCTAAACTTAAAAGTTTAATCTTTCCCATAAACTTCTCCATGTTCTTTGGATGAACTTGGTAGAATGAAATGTAATATTAACATATTTAAAAGCAGCACTTAGGTTACAAGAAGACAAAAAAAAGTATTTCTGTGTTTGCCAAAATTTGATTTAAAATAAATGAAAACTTCTTGGGAAAAGTCACTGTACCAAGAGAAGAGGAAGCAGCAAGATAGAAAACAGCCAGTAGAATTAAAGGCTAAGAAAGACAAGCAAAATTTACATGTATAACCAATAGTTCTCTCATTTTTTTTCAGTCGGTTGTTGGTAAAAGGGAAGTGCCAGAGAAAATAAATTAATAAAATGTCAAGACTTTTAGACTAAACTTGCCACAAATTCTTGTACTTTTTGTACCTTGCACAACCTTATTAGCAAAAGCCTGGAGTCCTGCTTATGCAAGTTTGCTAACATGACTGGTGTTTGGATAGATCAGAAGTTCTTAGGAAAAAGGATGATTTACGAGCAGTGAAAGAAATAAATATTTCTTGTCAATAAACAATGATTTAATCTCGTGTGACCAGAATGGGCAGGCTAATGAGATCCCAACAGCATGAAAGTGAGAGCCAAGGAATACTCGGTGACCTCTAAGAACACTGCCTTTTGTGATGGATTTCTGGGTCTTCAGCTTGCATTTAGGAGTTATAACTGGACTGCGAATACAATCTGATATCACTGGCACTTCACAGTCTACATTATTTAGGATGTTGGTTCTCAAACATTAGAGTACGTGACAGTTACCTACAAGGTTTAACACAGATTTCAGCCTCAGCCCCAGAATTTCTGATTCTGTATACCTGGGGTGGGGCCAGAGAATTTGTCTGTCTAACAAGTTCCCAGGTGATTCTGATGCCTTTGGCCAGGGACCACAATCTGAGAACCCCTGGGTTATAGAAAAGCATCAACATGAAAGTGCACTTTTCTCCTACCTGTAAAACTGGAGTCCAGCTTCATATTTTACAGGGATAGAAACATTTACTTCATTGTCAAAAAGGGATTCAGGCGGCTCCTCACTGTCACTAGAAAATACACAGCATGTTCAGACAAATCATTAAACCATTGACTACTGAGGGACCTTTCTAAGCAATTGAATGAGAAGTTTATTTTGGCAATTAAACAAAGGCACAAAAAAGGATGGAGTTCTTGATTTGTTTAAAAAAATTCAGGGTGGAGAGTGAGACTAGAGATAGGTATTGTTCCTGAGGCGACTGTGAAATGCAGCCAGGGGTGGAAACCACAGTCTGGTACGAGGTCAAACCTCTGCGTGAATAATGGTAAGTATCCTTGGGTCGATTGTTAGAAACACAGACTATTGGGCTACTCTCCTAGAAAACATAGCATTTAGCAGGTCCGAGCATGACTTAGCATGAATTTGTATTACAAATCACACAGGGATTCTTATTTATCACAGATGAGGTCCTTTTTTTTAATTAAAAAAAACTAATTAATTAATTTTTGGCAGGGGAAGATAATTAGACTCTCCTTTTTAATTTTGGAAGAGGGACTAGGGATTGAACCCAGGACCTCATGCATGCTAAGCATATACTCTACCACTTGAGCTACACCCTCCACCACACCTGAGGGCCTTGTAAAGAGACAAAACTAGGATCACACAGCTGAGAGTAAATCTACAATCTCTGTCTTCTCACTTAATAGTCCTTCCATGCCTGGTACTTGACGCTCATGCTATTTGTTAAGCACTTATTTATTCCCCTGAGCTTAGTCAACAGTTCAATGATATACTGTGTAAATACATGCATATATGTGTATATGCACGTATACACATACATGTATCTCATACTCTCCTGCGTTCAAAACAAAGCACGTACAAGTGATGTGACAGTCACCACCCTGGCTCTGCAGCCAGAGCGCATGAAATAGCTCTTGGACATTGACCCACTTTGGGAAAGTTATTTAATCTCTCTGAGCTTTGGTTTCTTCATCTACAAAATGGGGATTTTATCATTAAATTATTAATGATGATAAATGAGTAAAAATACAAAACACCTAACATTGTACCTAAGACACAGTAGAAATAATAAGCATTAGCTTTCATTATTATTATTACACACACCCCTCCACCAGGTGACCAAGGATTTAGCATTTTGTCTCAGAGAATGGGCAAAGAGTACCTTTTAATGGATCTGCTTATTCCCAAGTGTATTAAGTGTCTTGGGGTGGGGCAGAGAAGGCAGCCCCGTGACGTGGGTTATAAATATGTGTGGCTGGGCTTTTGCTGCGAATGGTCCCTGTCCCTCCTACCCATTCCACACTGCAGCCAACTTAATCTTCCTAAGAAACAGCTCTGTACATATGACTTCACCTCTCAAAGCCTTTCCTGTCTCCTCGGGGTCTGTTCAATTAATAAAAGATACCTCATTTTGAAATTCAATAGTCTCCATAACCAGGTAAGACGTACATTCCCTGTTTATCTTCCATTACTCCTTTATGAATTCTCTATATTTGCACTAAATGGATTACCCAATTTTCCCCCAAGTAGATTTACCTTTGAGTTCTGGCACAAGCTGTTTGTTTTGCCTGAAATGTTCTACCAACCTTTCTGAATTGCTACCCATTCTTTAAGGTCCTTCTCCATTTGGGTTCTCATTGCCAAGTAGATATAACTTCACCCAGTAAGTCTCTGATACATGGCTTATATTTCTCTAGTGAATGTTCCTTGCCCTATCCTGTATTATAATAAATACTAGTCTCATTTCCCTTCTGTGATTTTCACTCCATGATGAGGTTTGTGCCCTTATTAATTTTATTAATTTTATATTCCCTAAGTGACAAATTCAATATCTTGTCCATAGCAGATGCCAAGTAAATATTTGTTGAATTGAACTGAATTAAGCATACAGAATTAACTCATCCATCAATTAATTTTCTCATTTATTCACTCACTTTACATTTATTTAGTAATTATTAGATATGAGTAATTATTAAACACTTTACATTTATTTATTAATTATTTGATATGAAGCACCTTTTTTTTTTGTTTGTTTTTTACTGGGGAATAAAGTAACAGATGATAAAACTTTATCTCAAGTTCTTACCTTATGGTTCAGTGGATGGTTACACTTAGAAGAAAGTTACACTTAGAAGAAAGCACTATTCCAATTTCCTTATTAGACTTTTGCTATTTTTCATTTGTGTATTCTATGCCATCTTTCAGAAGCTGTGACTGATTTGAATAAAATTGATTAAACTACAAAAAGGTATCATAAAGCTTTAAGTCCCTCTAATGATTCAGTTGACCTTGATGGTCAGCCAGTAAAAGTTTTTAAATTAGCAAAGCCTATAAAATTTTAAATGAATTTAAATGCAATCTGGCAGATATAAATGATATGTGATTATAATATGTTTTATAGCTCATAGAACCAATGGTTTAATCCAGTTAGGTGTATCATTTCTGTTAAACACATTTTAAAAATTTTGCTAATTATTCACAAGGACGTTTTTGTGAAGCAAAGGGGTTCACTGCCTTCTACTTCTATTCATCTCATAAAATCTGTAAGAAGTTCCAGTGAGTCTATAAAACAAAATATTCTAAATACATGAAAGAAATCATATACACATACACTCATGCACACATATAAACCAACCTTGTTGCACTTGAATGAATGATCACATTTTCCATGAGATAAGACGTGTTAAACTGAAATAATATTTTGAACATTACCTATGAAATAAAATATTTTTAGTTTAGTAACAGATAAGGAAATAAAGTATAATGTTTGTTTTGATTAAAATAGTAAATGATATAAATGATATTTTATTACAATACCAGTCTACCAGACCATAATCATAAACAATATAATTATGAAATTGTCATAATTAAAGCTTCTTTAAAATGGAAACTTCAAGTACCAGCAACCATTTATACATATTCCTTATTAAACAGAGCAAAAACGTACTTGGTTCCATTGATTTGATAGTATAAAAATGGTGTGGACTGTTAAGGAATAAAAAAACAGTATAAAACAAATAAAAGGCTTGGCTATTTAGAATCGAGTAAACTATAATATACATAATTTAAAAAGCAGTGCGTTTTGTTTACAAATTGCATAGTGAAAATCAATACCTAAGAAAAACTGGAAAATGTTTTTGTATTACTGACACTGATTCAGGTAACCCACTTTCGAGAAACTATGCTTGAGTACATGAATTATGTAATTCATGATTCTTTATAAATACCACCAGGCAGACCAAAAACTAGATTGCTTGTTTGAAGAAATATGTTATCAGCCACATAACAATGTGTACAAACCCAATACTGTGCTAACTGAGGTGTTTTGGAATTTGGGCTAGCAAAATTGGAGTACATTATCCACTGTACAGTGAATAAACACTACTTAAAACTTAACTTTGTGATTAAGTGCTAAACAGGACAAGGTTTGATACTGAAAGCTCTTTTAATCAATTTAGGTACCATTTATAGAAGGGATGACTAGAACTCATGGGGCTTAAGATTTGCATGGTTGTACTATATTACGGAGTGTGGAATTTTCTCTTGTATTCTCTTGTCCCACATATTTTTTGAGTTACATTAAAAAAAAAGTAGTTCTAAGAATCTGTAGGCAATTTTCTTTTTGCTTTGAAACAGTAATCACAATTCTAGTAGATTGCCCTTCTTGGGGAGTGATGGAAATGTTAGCTATCTTGATTGTGGTAGTGGTTTCACTGGTGTATATATCTATCAAAATTCATCAAAGTGTGCATCTGAAATATGTGTAATTTACTGTACAGGAACAATAAAGGTGTTAAAAGAGTTCAACCAAAAGTGTGATGAGAATGGAAGGGACACTTTTTTACTGTATATGTTTTTATATATTTAAAAATTATTGAACCATATGAATGTGTTCCATATTCAAAAACAAATAAAACATTTAAAGAAAAAGAAAAACAAAACAAAACAAAAAAACAATTCCAGTAGAAGATTTATTGGAGGGGTGTGGAGCTTGAACTATAATATACAAAAGGTCAAACTGCTGGCATCTCTCAGTGAGCTCCTCTTTCCCTGACTGTCCTTAGCCTTCTGACTGTCCTGGACATTAGTCTTGGCATTCTAGATGAGTCTTGTGATGGAGGGAAGAGATGGCAGAGAAGTGGGCTGAAGAAGCTGCCTTTGCATATTGACCTGATCCTGAAATGCTGACACTACAAATCTAGATCTGGAAACTGAAATATACTCTAAATGTAAAGTCGATGTAAACATTATTTGTACACTATCTTCCCATCTCTCTATTGATGATGAGACACTTTGATTTAAGCCTTTACCTTAAGCATCAAGAAACAGCTAAAGAAAGGAAGAAAGAGTTAAGAAATTACTAAGATTTCAATTAATGCCTCCAATGATTGGGATATAACATGGGGTATATCATTATTCGTTAGGAAATGCAGATAATGCCATGGTTAATTGAAGTGGTCAGAGGAAGGAGGTGACCTGAGCTGACATTCCTTATTTCCACATCAAATTAGAGGAATTATGAATGTATTTTTTCAAGTGTGATGTGTATTTTATAGATTTATAGGGAAGAAATGCACTTTCACAGTGTATTTCATTTGGGATAGCCACAAAACAGACTTTGTGATGGGGTTCCAGAAGTAAATTAGTACACCAAGGTAGTTCCATACGCTAAAATGAACATAGAAAAGATTTACTGACTTTAACAATAATTACTGTGATTCATAGTTAGGTTCCTAAATCACTAGTAACCATGCCACATGTGTTAAAGAGAAAGGCTTTTTTGAACTCTCATTTGCAAAAAGAAGAGCTAAAAGATTTCATTATAGACAATCTATCATTAAAGATTTCACATAGCTAGGCATCTGCCATTTCCAGATGTCCAAGCCAATGTTTATCAGCTTTTTAGAATGTATGTTAAAGATGTCAGGGATCTATTTTGAAGTCTTATATTATAAAATATGATAATATAAGGAAGTTGAAATAACTACAAAATATTTTTGAAGGTAATTGATGATCTAAATAAATGGAAATACATCCCATGGTCATGAGTCAGAAGATGTAATATTTTTAGATGGTAACCCTTCCAAAATAGGTCTACAGATTTAATGTAATCCCCATCAAACTCCCAGCTGGCCTTTTTTTTTCCCCCACATAATGACAAGCTGATTCTAAAATACAAATGGAAATACAAGGGGCCTGGATAGCCAAACAATTTTTAAAAAGAAAATATAGTTTAAAAACTTACATTTCCTGATTTCAAAACTTACAACAAAGCTATGGTAATCAAAACAGTGTGGTATGGTCATAAAGATAGACATATAGCTCAATGAAATACAATTAAGATTTGAGAGATAAACGCATATGTTTATGGTCAACTGATTTTTCAATAGGAGTGCCAAAATTCAATTGGGGAATGAATAGTCTTTTCAATAAATGGCATGGGACAACTGTATATCCACAATTAAAGAATGAAGTTAGACTCTTTACTTACACCATATAAATAAGTTCATCAAAATGGATCACAGATCTAAATACAAGAGCTAAAACCATAAACTTCTTGGAAGAAAATATAAGAGAAAATCTTCATGACCTTGGGTTAGGCAAAATCTTTCTAGACATGATACCAAAAGTATGAATGACAAAAGAATAAATAAATAAATTGGACTTCATCAAAATAAACACTTTTGTGCTACAAACAACACTATCAAGAAAGTGAAAATTCAACTTACAGAATAGAAGAAAATATTTGCAAATTATATTTCTGATAATAGACTCGTGTGTAGAATATATAAAGATCTCTTACAACTTAATAATAAAAAAGATATCCCAATTAAAAAGTAGGTAAAGGGTCTGTATTCAGACATTTCTCCAAAAAAAAAAAAATACTCATCACCAAAAAGCACATGAAAAGATTTAACATCAATAGCCATTAGGCAATTGCAAATCAAAACCACAATGAGATACTACTTCACACCTACTAGGATGGCTAAAATAAAAAAGACAGGTTGTAACAATGTAGAGAAATTGGAATCATCATACACTGTTGGTAGGCATGTAAAATGGTGCAGCCACTTTGGAAAACAGTTTTGCAGTTCCCCAAAATGTTACACATAGTTACCAGATAACCTAGCAATTCCACCTCTAGGTTTATACCCAAGAAAACTGAAAACGTGTCTATATCAAACCTGTACACAAATATTCATAGAAGTATTATTTATAGTAGTCAAATAATGGACATAACTCAAATTGATAAATCAACTGATAACTCATCAACTGATAAATGAATAAGTAAAATATGCTATATCCATACAATGGAATATTATTCGGAAATTTAAAAAAATGAATGACTGATAAATGGATGAACCTTGAAAACATTATGCTAAGTGAAAGAAGCCAGTCACAAAAGATCACATATTGCATGATTCCATTTGTATGCAATGCCAGAATAGGCAAATCCTCAGAGAAAGAAAGTAGGTTAGTGGTTGCCTAGGGTAAAGGGCGGTGGTGATACTGAGGAAAAAAGAACAGTAACTGGTGATGTGTACAGGGTTTCTTCTGGGGATGTGAAAATGTTCTAAGATCAACTGTGGTCATGGTTGCACAATTTACAATATGGTAAATATACTAAAACCCATTGAATGGTACACTTTAACTGAGTGAATTGTATGGTATGTGAATTATATCTCAATGAGGTCATAATTTTAAAAAAGAGAAGTGAAAGTAGAGTTTCCATACAAAGTTCTAAACCAACCAGTCCAAAAGATTCTTTTTCCTACAGGCCAGAAAAGCCTACTCCACAGGAGACTCCAATACCAGAATTTCCCAGTTCCATTTTATCAGATAAGTTATCTAGAATAAATTCTTTATTTTGTCTTAGTGATTGAATTTGACTTATGCAATAATTGTCTTTTGATACCAAGATCTCAAAATTTTGAATTCAATCTTCTTCATCTCTATCATCCTAGACTACCATTAGAAAATTTTATATGTTTGGCTTTGATCGTATTATTTTTTGTATCCAATTGCCACATGTATTTTCTATAATCTGCTTACCATTTCTCCTCTTCTCAGGAAAGGATATCCAACTTTACATGTGACATTATGATTGGATTCACAACTGTCTTTTTGGATAGCCTGGGAAGGGAATGTAAACAGAGTTAGAGCAGATGCGCAGGTGAAATACTTCAGCTTGATTTTCTAGAATTTTCCCAGCCACGCCTTAGATTCTGCCTTACTAAGATTTTTTTCTCACTTTACTTGGGAGAGTCACACAAACCCGTCTAGATCTTCCACTGAAAAATGGGAGTATTAACAGCATCGACCGCACAGAGTGATTACTGCCACGATTATTACTATTGTTATTGGTAACAAAAGTAGAAGAGGGGCCTTGTTGATTTTACAGCTCTGCCTCTCTGCCAAGGCCAGGAAGTCAGCTGAAGAAGATACAGACAAAAAAAAATTTTTTTTAATATAGTGTACTTTCCTGAGAAAAATTCAGTGGTAATATTTTCCCAGTATCACTTTGCATATTTGAATTTTTAATTAACATTCTTTACTGAATCTAAAATATGTGGTAGTGATATAGCCTATTTTAGCATCATATCCCTAAGTGATATCCCAATAAATGGGAGAGAAATATCAGTGAAAATCTGAATTTACAGAACTAGACAATTAAAGTTTTAATAGTAAATATAGTAGTATATTTGTTTTTAGTATGAATTATATATATTACTAATTCATATAAATATGTACAGAATTTTGATTCAGGGGAATTCATTCAGAGGTCAGAATTAAAAACAAAGTTCAAATTTGGAAGTACTAATTAATCCTGAATAGCGTCTTGATGCATCTATGTTATTGACAAAATAAAAAAAAGTCAGTCATAACAATGAGACATAGTTATTTATTACAACTCTCTTGCCACTGTAAGGATTTTGCATAGAAAGTGGGAAATGGTATCTTGATTTTTCTGCATGTAAATATTTTGTAGTCCAGCACATGTATTACGCTCTCTTTGCACCTCTGTTAAACTCGTTTGACTTTGAGTGTTATGTTTATTTTTTCTTGACTCAGTCTTAGTTTCAGTGGTGTAAGGCCTCTGTGAAGCATACAGTTTTGGGACACCAGCAATCCTTTTTTCATCCCGAATCCAAGAAGAGTCATACACCTCTAAAGAAACATATCAGAATGAAAGCTTAGAAAAAAGCTTGGCACTTTCACCATTAGTGAGTACTAATTTTGCATAAAATACTTCCTATGCTTCTAAAATCAGTGTAATAAAAAGAATTAGTTCAATAGTATGAAAAGTAGGTTCAAAGAGTGATTATTACAAGAATAAATAAATATAAAACTAAAAGTTTACCTCGATTCCTGAAAAAATTAGATTTGGAGAGTAATTCACTATAGTTCTGGTGTTATAGGCACTGTCCTTTTTATTTTTGACTGTAAGGCTAACATTGAACTTATCATTGTGGGACTTGACAATAAGTAGGCCCTTTTCTGTGGTGGATACATCCAGGGTGAGGTCTGAGATACATTTTTCCTTGTTTCCACAATCTTTGGCAAAGGGAATCTGAAATGGTCACAGAAGAACAGTTTTCAAAATTCAGCTAAGCATTATTGAAAATTACCTATGAACTTGCATAAAAGAAATGACATATTGCCAAAATAAGTCAAGTGAGTTGTAAAGAGATCAGATTTCACTGCAGGAATCATAAGGAGTGCTTTTTTTTTTTAATATTTGTTCCTATAATTTATAAGGGAAAAGAAAAATGTTTCACTTCTGGATACAAATTCTTCCAGTCCTTTAAGAAATGCACAGTTTTCACAGATTTTTTTTCACTGGCTTTGGTCTGCCAGAGTAAAAAAGTTTTCCAAAAAATCCAGTCAAATACTCTCAGATTCAAAGCTGTGAAAGAACATGGTCACACTCAACTCTGATTATGAGACTTTCTCTTATCAACTCCTTAGAAAAGTAATGGAGCTCAGTCAACAGGGTAGAAAATGATCAAGCCACCTACTTGGGAGCCTCCTTAACTCTTCTACAGCTTTAAGTCCTTCTTGCTTATCCAATCCATCACCAAGAACAGTCCATTCTACTTCTCTTCTAAATATTTCCCCCATCTCTCCTTGCTTCTCCATTTCCACCACCACCTCTAGTCCAGCCTTCCTTATTTCCTCTCTGAACTAAAGCAACAGCTTCCTAACTGGTCTCCCACACCCACTCTTGATTCCTTCCAATTATTCTCTGCCTTGCAGCTTAAGTCATCCTTAAAAAAAAAGAAAAGAAATCCAGAGCTATCACCGAACCAATTAAAGCCTTCAATAGCATTCCACTGCCCTTCAAAAAAGCTTAAAATGTGTGCAGTGTTACAAATCCTGCCTGTGCATCCCCCTCATCCCACATCACCTTCCATGCTTGCTCTTCAACTTTAGCCTACACTAGTGAGTTGAGTTTAGTTCCTTTTATGCTTCAGAACTTTTGCACATATCCCTCTGCCCAGAACATCGCTCCTTCCACTCCTCTAAGTAGGATGCAACATCTTCCTATGCTTTCGGTCTCAACTTCAATGTCACAACTTCAGGGAATGCCTCTTGACACCTCAGCCTAGCAGAAGTTCCTGTAGAGCACTGAAGTTCTTCTCCAGAGCACACAGTTTAATTACTACCTAATACCTTTTTCCTAGGCTAGACTGTAAGCTCTGTTGCTTTAAGACACTCAGTGGATGTATTTGGAAGGGAGGAAGGGAAAGCAGAAGATAGGTGCAGGGGGAAAAGTAATTCCATCCCCAGTGTTTCCTCTATTGGTGCCACACTTGTAACCCCATCCCTCTAACCACTGACTCTTTCTCAGGGGTGGGATGGTAGACTCTGAATTTGGAAACAGAAACTAGGTGAACACAGCTCACAGCTTTCTGTCTTTTCTACACTTGGGGCAGTGGTGTGCCCGTGGGAAGCATACATCCACTTCTCCATTCTGTGAGTTTTACAGGGTGGGCCTGTAGCAAGGCCTGAGATAGCTGAGCCCTGCTGATGACCTATTTGGTTGCTTGTGGTCTAAGCCTGGCTCAGTTGGAGGACACCCATTATACCTAAACTATACCCTGCAACCAGCATTGACTTGTCATAAAAGGGAGTTCCAATTGGCCAACGCTTGTCTTTCTTTCAACTGTTCCTAAATTCAGGAGAGATAAAAATAGGTGTCATTTGTAAGTTCCCTTGCACTCCAACAATAGGAAGTTAGAAGAATTGGGAAAAGTTTAGAAGAGACTAATTTTTTAATTAATATAATTGATTTAGGCTTGTGTGTGTGCATCTATTTATGTCTTTCAGGTTTTCTCCTAACACACTCACAAATAGGTATTCTGAATTAGAAAAAAATTGGACTTACATATTCATGTACTGAATTTGGTAGAGAATCATCAAGAACAGGCCCATTTTCTGGATCGGTAAGATTAAAATCCAAGGTTATTCTCAAAGAGTCTCGAAAATCATGCTTGTCCTAGAGGTTAAAACATAAAACATATCATTGGTATCACATTTATTGGATGTTCTGACCTTGTTACAGCTTCCTTGTTCTGCCCCTGTGGGTCAGGCTCATTGGACTCTCTTGGGCACCTGATCTGACATATGACTTGATCAGGCTTTGGCTTCACCAGAGAGAGACTTCCCTTCTGCCTTGAAAAGAGACACTGATGAAAAGCAGAGGCTTCTGACTATGACCAGTGGACTCACCTCCAGCTCCTCAGACAGGCCTGCTGGAATGATGGATACGTTGAACTTGGCCATTCAGGATTACCACTCCAAGCTGCTTGCCTAACAATAACGTTTCTCTTGAGACCTTGAGCTAAAAATCACTATGTAAAACTTCCTGGAAGTCTCTCAACTTCAAGAGAGCAACCTTTCTTTAAATTGAGTTTCATTTCATTAATATAATATATACTTTGGAGTTGTAAGAATTTTCTAATGTAAAATGATAAGGAAATAATGTGAATTCAATCAATATTGTTTATACTATCATCAGTGACAGCCATAATTTATGGCATATCCAGAATTATGAGCTTTGTACACATTACTGAGAATTATTTCAGCAATCCTCCAAGATGCATAACAATTGCAATCTTTATATTACAGATAGAAAAACTGAGCCTCTAAGAGACTAAACCACTTTGTCAAAATTATTTGGAATGTGGGGAGGCTGGGATAGAAATTCCATCCTGGCTGACTCTAGAACAAATGCTAAAGTATCCATTAAAATCCGGAATTTTGGAAATTTTGAAACTAGTTCACTCTTTTTAAGACCAGTGCCTAGATAAAGCTAGATACTAATTTTTGGAGAAATACATACTACAGTGATTTTAGGTTGGAGGCACTGCCAAATCTGGTTTCATGCCTTTTCAAATTTTATACAAATTCTAACTCCTAGATATTGAGTTCTGATGAAGCAAATAGGAAAAGAACTCCATTTTAATTTTTTTTCTAATTATAGATTGATTTAATGTTGACAGAATAAGCTTAATTTGATATACGTCACAGGAAATACTGACTTGAAAATCACATGAATAAACACAGCATGTGTGACTTCCGTCACTTTCCTGCCCCAAACTACAATATTTTCAAAATATGGAACATGAATACATAAAGGTACAGAAAGAAGTCAGAGGCTGGGGGAAATAGGACGGATTCCTTTAAAATTCTAAGGTCAGGTGCAAATGCCTGTTACTAAAATCAGTGTTTTCTCAATATGTCCATTCTGCTTTGCTTTGCTTTTCTTCTCTTTTCTTTTCTTTTCTTTTCTTTTCTTTTCTTTTCTTTTCTTTTCTTTTCTTCTTCTTCTTCTTTTTTTTTTTTAGTATCATGTACATTTTAAGAAAATGTTTAAGAAACTCCTGCCCTTAATTGGGGATGTTCCCCCCCTATACAGTAACCCAATAAAATACTTTTAAAGTGGTTCAAACTGGCTTACCAGCCATCTCTAGAGATTAAAATTTTGCTTTCCAAGGATCCTTCATCCACTAAAATAGAAATTTAGGCATGCAAAGCCTACAGATGATAGAAAATACCAGATCTTTTCCCTTCAATTTAAAGTCAAAGAATGAAACACATAGTTCAATGGAGGAGAACAGACCCCAGAAAGCAAATGGCCCCAAAAATCTCCCCTGAGGGCATTTGACCACTTATCCATAATTGGCAGAAAAGACCCACAAAAGTTCAGCGATGCTTTCAAGTTGAAAGAAGAAAATGAACGAATGGAAGAAATGAAAATATGAACAAAATGCAAGGTCTCTATCAATTGGTGCACTGTGCCTTTTACTGTTCCATAACATACAGAGGTCTGACAACACACACAGGAAGATGAAAGATAGTTTTATGACATTGGAAATTAGAAGATCAGACCTGTGGTTTTCTGATAATAGTGAGCAAAGTTTAATTCATGATATGCACTTTGGAATAAAACAATAAAATTGATCGACCTGAAAATAAGACATCTATATCTCATTCTCGATTTGAAATAAGGCAGCTATTATACATGATTTACTTGCCAACATGTAGAAGGAATGCTTAGTGCATTCTGATTCTCGAACTGTGATGTTTCTTTGAATCTTTCTCTCTTGAGTTCCAGAGAAAAAACTCCGTGATATCTGTCTGAGAGAATCTAGTGTGACACGGTACTGCATATCTATAAAAGTAAAAAAAAAAAAAATTGACAGAATTGTTTATTTGGGGTGATTTTCATATGATCCAGCTCATTAAATTAGTATTTAGAAAAATCTCCTGGGCAATCAGCCAAAAAAAAGTTATTCAGCATATCCACACTACCATAGTACAACGGGATTTTCAGTTAAGAAGGTAACCTCGAGGAACTCTGCAGAACTGCTTTCTGAGTTCACAAGGCTTTTAATGTTTAATTCCACTTATTTAAAATTGTATATGTATGTACACACACACACATCCCCTACATAGCACCTAATCTCTTGACCGTGTATAAGTGTACTGGGTTTCACTTTTTTTCTTTTTTTTTTTTAGTTTAGAAATGTTGGAACCCTGCTTAGAATATTGATTATGTTGTATTTCAAGAGATAAAAATATACATTAAGGGCATTTTAACCTATTTTATAAAAAATGTCATTTCAGATTGTGTTCAAAGGATATAATAAAATAAACTTAATAAATAAGTTTAATAAAATAAGCGTATCACGATAAGGAAAACATGCTAAACTTTATACTTTCTGTGAAGGCAACAATCTTTCTTGTTTGATTACTTAACTACTACATAAAAATAAGACTTAAAATGTTGCATCATGAAAATATAAATTATCATGTTGCATTCCTATGACTCACATATCTTCAAGTCATGGGTTTGTTGCAGATCATAAATACGCACATATAGAGCAAACTAAGAAAAATAGATTTTAAGGATTAATGGTTTTTCTCATTCTGCTTATCCTGGGTTTGCAGAGTGAATTACTCTTTGGCAGCCAGTGGCCTTCATACTTTTGACTCCAACATGTTTTAGTATCATTAAAAACTGCTTTAGAGGTTGTAGAATGCAGGGAGGAGGGGGAGACCCAGGCTGACGTGATGCACCTGAGAACATAGACGGAATCTCTCAAAAACTAGGGTCACCTTCTAACTGGAGCAAAGGGAACTCAGGAAGGTCGGGGTGGTGAGACTTTCAGCTCCTCTGCAGCACCGGTCTTACTGGACAGACTCCAGCTTCCAACTCTGTCTCTGAATTCTCTCTCCCTCTCTCTCTCTCTCTTTAGCACTTGGTTGTTCAGAATAAATAGGAGAGGCAGAGGAGAGATATGGAATCCAACTATGGAAGGCCATCAAATATAAGCAGGTAGTTTTTGCTCCAGAATTTACTGGGCTCCATAACCTTTTCCTTCCACAGCAGAATTTTTTTTCAAGGCTCAACATGTTCACAGGGGCAAATGTGATGTGCAGATTCCTCTCATCGAGGTAATAAAATGTCATACTGGATTTCATCCTGCTGGAGCAAATATAATGTCCTCCTACCCTGAAGCCCTTCCACATATATGACACTTACCGGCTTCGTAAAGCACGTCTTCCTTGGATTTCAATTTCACATCAAAACACACGGTGGCATTTATGCATACTGTTTCCTTTCCCTCCACACGGCAGTTTTTCTTCTGAATATTCACTTTATTGGGTTCAAAATTCATGGTCACTTTAACTACAGCCACATCTCGGGACCTGCAAACACAGAAGCGATGGTGATTGCTCACACATTTCTACATTTGATGCCTGCCATCACTGGAGAATTGCGAAGTGGGCGCATCAGCGGGATTCTTCTCTGTGTGTAGGATGCTCTCAGGACTCCTTTCTCTGGTGAATCTTTGATACAGAAGAGATTGTATCTGATGTTCTGAACACACCCAGGTTGCTCTGGAACCACGTCAGGCTTTGGGTTCTGAAGGGTGGCAGAATATTTCACCCTAAAATATAGGACTTCAGGACATGCTACCCTCCCCAAAACACACTGCTCTGGCATATTGATGCTTTTGAGCTGCAGGCACTTAAAATACAACAGCTGCTGGGAGAGGCAGTTCAGAGTTTCTCCGACCTCCCTTACCAGCCTAAAGATAGAGCCTCCAAGAGGAACTCAGTTGTCATAGATCTCCTCCCCACGAGTTTCATCAACCAGGGAAGACTGACACTTATCACAAGAGAGGAGTCTGAAGTGGATGCCACACCCAGACAAACTTTGCTATAAACCATCTTAACTCCCATGCATTCTTTCAAGGGTCTATTCATCTTCCCTAAAAATCATTTACTCTCCCCTAAAAGGCCTATGTCCCCTACCCCTTTCCCTATTAAGATGGTTTTTATTCTAAGCTAGCTGGGGAGTCACTTATGTCCCCCGGGCATCTCCCATGTACACAGGAGGGATACGTGTTAATAAACTTCTGTTGTGTTGTTGTTGTTGTTGTTGTTGTTGTTAATCTGTGTTTTTTTTACAAGGGTCTCAGCCAAGAATTCAGAAGGGTAGAGGGGAAATTATTTTTCATCCTCATACAATTCATAGGCCAAAGATGTGTTTTGCCCGTGATAGAAAAGAGGTGAAATCAAGTGGCCAGGTGCAGCCTCAGAATCCAAACCATATTTTCAGCACCTTCGAGTTTGTTCCCAATCTGGAAAGAGTTCAGAGGCCCCTGGACGACTTTTCTGCACTGTAACACTTGTCTGTTTTTCCTGTGGGTTCAGCCCTGCCCCTGCTTCTGGGAAGGAGGAGCAGATCAGCACCTGAAGCAAGGCAACACGCTCTTTCTAATCATTTAAACTTGAAATTAACCTTCATAGCAAGACATACTATTATCTCTGTTTTATATGTGAGATAACCGAGGCTCTGAGAGATTAAGTATTTAACCTAAGGTCAAAAGCTGTCCAGAGTGTAAAACTGGGATTTAAACCCAGTTTTTTTAAAATTCCAAAGCCAAGAGCAGAGTAATCCAAAATTAGGCAAGAAGAGTGCATGGAGCCAGAGGCCGGTGCGTGAGAATCAATCTGCCTTGTAACCAGACTGGCTCTTTAGAGCTAGGTATCTTGTGAATACAAAGTTCCTTGCTTATGCTTTTGCATTTGAAAAGAAAAATTTTATTTTTCTTTTACAATGATTTACTCATAGAAAATATGGAAACACAGTGAAGGAAACAAAGGAAATACAAATCAGTTGTAATTCTGCTACTCAGCAATAATTACCATTCACACTGGTACACTAAGCACTTTTGTCTTTGCAGAAGAATATATATATATTCATATATATTCACATTTATATATATATATATATATACACAGAGAGACCCATACACATACATGCATCCATACATATATATACACACACAGGCCCATATACATATGTAAACATACATACTTTAAAAACTTATAATATAATGAACAGCTTTCCAATATTTATATTCTTCTGTGAACATCATTTTTAATGGCAGTATACTGATCCAACATATGCCTGAACCATAATCTATTTACTCAGTTCCCTCTTATTGTATATTTAATTTTTTAAAAATAGTTATTACCTGCAGCATGTGATCCCACTCTAAAGATCATATATCTTTAACCACACATTATATGTTTAAAAAATTTTAGGAGGTAAATTCCTCGTTAAAAAGTATGAACATTTTAAGGCTTTTTAAACACCTTAGTGACAAATACCTGCTAATGGGTTTTAGTCGCTTTACCCTTTTGCCAGCAACAATGAGTGTGTCTAGTTCCCTGCTAGGAAGTCTGGCTCCTACAGGCATGAGGCTGCCTTGACCACTCCCCACCCCACAGCTCCTCTCTGCCCGGCACAGATCTTTATAGCTTTGATGACTCAGCCTGTCCCACAGAATGGGGCTTTCATTATCTGCTCTCTGAATGCTGGGCGGGCCTCTGTTTATCACCCGCCATCTATATCCACTCTCAGTCCCTCCTTAAGCATTGCAAATCTTGGTCTTCATGCTGCAGCGTGCTGGGTTAATCCATTTTGCTGGGTGATTACAGGGACCCAATTCTGTCACTTTGGCTCATTAATAATAAAGCCTTGATCAGAAGCAAGAAAGGCTCTGTTTTCAGAGCTTTGTAAGAAGCCCTTGAAACAAAACTGGAGAATAAAAATTGTCCTTAAAACATATATGTATATATTTAATATAAGAAGGTGAATACAATAAATATTTGTGAGTGAAGATTATCCTAATGAATTAATCCAGGATTAACAGTTCAAACAAAACCTAAATGTACTAAATGTACTCTTTGTTCCTGACACTGGGGACTTCTGGTTTGGATCCTTGCTTTGGGTGGGCCCCCCACAAAGTCACAGCCGTTGCTGCCCATATCCTTCCCTCCCAGGCATCACTGGTCAGTTTTCCTTGCCCTCTACTGTAAAGTTAAAAAAAGTTTTTACCATAATGGTTACAATCTGTGTATAGTTTGGTGTACAATTTTTAGTTGACTATTAGTTCTTTAGCATTATCTTAAATTCTGATAAAGTCACCTATTTTCAAGTTTCTGTTGTCACCTCACAATTTTCTTTACTATCCTACATACATTTTTGGAAAAAGACCATCTGAATTGTATTAAACCAATGATTAATTTGAAAGAATCAACATGTGGACTTTCCATCAAGGGACATGATATCAATACATTATTTAAATTTACTAAATCCTTCCTTTATATGTCTTAACAAAGCTAGTAATATTTTTCAAAATTATCACATACATTTCTCATTAAGGTTATTCTTGATTTTTTTTTTAGTTATCTTTTCTTCAAACAGAACCCTTTTTCGAAATTGTATCTTTTTAACTGGTTCACAAGTTGGTTGTTAATGTTGTTAATTAATAGATTATTATTTTACTAATCAATCAAAACATTAATAAATGGCATTAATAAATGTATCTAACCATTGATGAAGGTTTTACAATTGACTGAAATTCATTGGGGATGTAGGCATTTTAAAGGCTGAGAAAAAGTATTATTGTAGATGCTTCTTTGCTCGACTAACAATATAAACACAATCAGACAATGATGCACACTTGTCTAACTCTATGTATTAGGTAAAATGAATGAAAAGTCAGTTACCCCTGAAAGCTCGTAAGCAACTTAAATTTAGGGAAACTTTCTTGTCTATATACCTCCTTTATGAGGCCCTCTTTTCCCCTATGACTCCCCCCAAACAGAATACTTATCTTAATGCCAGCCACATAATAGATACCGCAAATTAAGAGTTGATTCTACTCGTTCCTTTAATACGGTTTTTAAATTTTTAAGATGTATCAACTTTTCCATATTCCCAAACTGCATAATTTTTATCTGACTGGGGAGTTAATTGGGTGTTATTAAAATACTTACCAGAAGAGGGCAGCACCACCAAGGCCCCCAATAGTGACATCGGTCAGACCGTCACCATTTAAATCCATTTCTCCGTGGATAGACTGGCCAAAAAATTTCAGTGTCTCGCCATCTCCCCCTGATGGGATACGCTGTGAAAAATCCCAGCAGAGAGTTTTTATGTCAGAAGAGTCTCTTCAATAATAGTTTCAATTCTAAATCTGAGAACTTGGATTGGTTAACAATTAAAATCAGAGATCTTTTGGAAACCTGCCCAATAGGCCCCTCATGTGGAGACAAGAGGAATTACTCAGATATTCCCAAAGGATATTCTTTTTATAGTTCAGACAAAATCATTTCAGGGTTAGTGACACCAGAGAGAGGGGAAAAATTATATAACGTCATCTTGTCTAACCCTCAAGGAAAACATTATGAGTAATTGGCTCTGCTTTCTAGTTCCTGCCAAATTCAATGACACAGAGATACTTAAACGTACTGGAAACACACCCTACAAGCAAGAGAGGGAGTAGAAAATAGTCCTAGGGTCAACTGGAGGTTCACTGAACTTTGAAGCTGGGGATAAATAATACATTCCATAAAATACATTTTTCAATATGCAATCTTTACTGTCTGCCAGAAATGGTCCTGAAAGTCAAGAGCATAAGAGACTCAATTTCATTCACGTGTATCCACAATGTTGGGAAGGCACATGTGAACATGGAGTTCTCGAGGACTGAGTTGTGCCCCTTATCATGCACCATTAGTTTGACCACTGTACTTCCTGACTTAGCTTAGGTTCAAGCTGATAATATTTTAATAGAATGTGATGGCAGGGAGACTGGACTGATAGACCCTTCTAACCTTGGGATCTCCTTATCCTCCTGTTTTCCACTTAAATACCATAAAGTAAGAAGCCAGATAGGCCAAATGGAAACATTTTTCATGCTTAAATGTCTGTGGCTCATTGGAAAGAATTTCTTTATTTTTTCAGCAAAGAAATCAGGAGATATCTGCGCCATGGCTTCTGGAGGACTTGATTCAGTGTGATTCTGGATCATTCCATATACAAACAGCACCTTTAGTTACCATGGAAATGAATGAGCAAATGCTCACATATCCTTGGGAAAGCATTCTGCCAATAACTAAACAAACTCAACTCTAATATTCTTTTCTGTTGTTGCTTAAAGCTGCATCTTGATTTACCACCATTTTACAAAATTAATTGCCTATGAAAATCTATTCTGTTTATTAATGATTTAAAAATTCTTCTTTTGTCTACTGCAAATGCCACTCCATTAAATTTGAAGGAGTGAAACTGAATGAATAAAGCGGTAAAACACAAGAAAGAAACTCCTTTCTCTGGTTCCCAGTTCCATCACACCCCAGTAGTTAATACTGTCTGTTTTTAGTTAAGAAATACCATGAAGATTTTTAACAGAAAAAAATTACTTATTAAGTGGTTAGGAGTGTTGTTACTGAAATACACCCTTTATTTTGTTGTTTCATTAGTAATGTCATTATACTTTATGAAAAATTAAGTACAACTTCACAAGACATGAATAGATTTTCAGAATTCTATTGACTACAGAACCAAAGAGAACAGTCAAATGTGAAAAGAAATAATTGATGTTCTCGTTCTCTTCTCATGTTATACAAGCTGGAAAAGTAATGAATTCTATTTTATTTGTAAGTAGTTTTTCAGTGCTTAATTAACTATGGTTACTTAAAAACAGACAGTTACACTAGAAGAATTCCTTTAAACTCTCTTTTTGTATAATGCATGAATCACTTCTGTAAGCTGATATTTTTCTCGTGTAGGAAAAAATGGTATTTGTAGATTAGAGCCATTAGCTGACAATAAATGTAAAACAAGAACAATAGAAACCCCTGCAGGTTAAGCTTAATTATTCAGATTTTCTTCCAAGAGGGATTACTTGTGAGAAAATTATAAACCTTCAGAAACCCACGTTTAATGAAGAAAATTTACCAATTTAATTCATAAACATAAGCTTAATATGATTTTATTATAACAACATAGGCATTGGATATAAAAACAGTAATTTCTCCTTTATTGGCTAAATCATATAATTACTGTTCTCTCATTCAGAAAGTGGTACCCTCTGTTTAGGATCAGACACTGTAGATGTTAAATAGCATTATTAAAAAGTGTTCTTTAATTTTGCTTTTTTACCATTTCAAAGGCTTAGATCATGGAGACAAGGCAAGTAACAACAGGAAAAAAAAGACTAGGCAAAAGAATAAAATACAAGTAATTCTTCTACAAAGAAAACTTAGGAGAGAATTAGAAATCCAGTTTCCCAGTAGAGTCAGAAGAAAAAAGTTAAATAACTCAATGAAGCAAGACAGGTGATGCCTGGCATTGAATCCACTTATCACTTAAGGGCAAGAATCACAGAAGTGGAAATATATATATATATATATATATAAAATATATATATATAATATATATAAATTTATATTTATAGTAATAAACCAGCATTACCTCTATAAATAATAAAACTTTAAAAAACCCATACACTGTTACTGACTACATGACAATATACCGTTGTTGTATTGCAGTGACATCCATTCCTGCTACACTAAAATAACAAATGAATAAAAGAATCTGTAGGTTTGACTTCTTACTTGTGCGTATTCTTTCCTTATGGTCTTGCCACTCCCATGATAAATGTACACGGCTCCCCCGTGATCATCTTCCAGGGGGGCTCCTATCACAACGTCATTAAATCCATCAAGGTTGAGGTCTTTCACAGCAGCAATAGCTGTTCCGAAACGAGCCCCGCATGGCTCATTTTTGTTTTCCTTGGTGCATGAATTGTGCTTCGGAGATGAACAGCAAGTCTGCTTAATGGGTTCCAGGCTCATTTGATATTCAAACGTTGTCTGGAAGAAAGATAAACAGGATACTTATGGATTTCTATCATTACTACAGCCGAGTGGAGTTTTTAAGTACCTACTAAATCAATGCTATTAGAAACCATTTGTACTTCAACGGTAAAGTTTGTAAAATTTCTTAAAAAGTATGCCTAGCTGAGAGCAAAGTTAGAGATTTCAAAAAACAGACTGTAGAAGTGTGGGAAAGACAACATACTGAGGATTTTAACGATTCTCTTTTTAATGTAACCGAGTGAGTATATAAGTCACAGCAGCTTTTTAAAGCTGCTGCACTGGATTTTTAAACCCTCAGGTTGTGTCACTATCCTTTCTTCACCCATTATTGTGCTTTTTGGAAAAATCTCTATGTATTTTCTCCTATAAAGGACAGAAAGTACTAGCAATGACGAACAGGAACACACTTTCTTGGGAAAAAAGGGGAAAGTAACAGAGGACCAAAAAAGTTGACAGGAAGAAGCAAAAATATGATAGGGAGAAAGATATGTAATTTATGATTTAAAATAATTAATAAGGGAGAGGCTCTAAGAACTTAACAAACTAGATAGACACATCCTGACTTTGCTGTAAACAGCAAACAATTCTTTTAATGAAGAAATCAAGAATTATTTCACTTAGCAAATGATGCCTAAAGGTAGGATCAGAAAAACCAGGTCTCATTCTAGCCCAGTGAAGTATTCCAAAGACCGTAGCAGGTCGCTCAAAGTGTCTTAGTGTCATTGCCTACAATTCACTGCTTCTCCACAATCTCTCCCCCTGCCTCCTTCACACACACACACACACACACAAAGCTTTAAATGTTAACATTACCCACCTCTAGGCCAGAGCTCATGAATGTTTGCCTTGTGAGTTTATTTAGCAATTTAACACCATTTATTTACCTTTATTTCATATAATCTGTACCCAAAGTTCACATTTACAAGCAGAAAATGTCTAGTGTTTTGAAATACTTTGCTAGAATTCTAAATGTTTGTTTAGAGACTGAGGGGTTAGTGGGGTTGATTGGCCCTGAAAGCCTCTTTCCTCCTTTTTCCGAAGTGAGTGAAGAAAATTAGAACAACATAATTAATTGAAATTTTAAGAAAGGAAGAGGTTTCCCTAGGTCTCCACCAAACTCACAGTGACCATTACCTGGTTCAGAGCGTACACGTACACTTTTCCCTGTTCCTCCTTCTCTGTTCCCATGTACATGGGGGCTCCAACCAGAAGAATGTCAGTATTAGAATCTTTATCAATGTCAATTGTTGTTAAAACGCTGCCAAAGTAGGAACCGATCTAGGATATGAAACAAAGCAGAACAAAACAGTGTGCACATCAGAAATTCTCAAGGAAGCTAAAAACCTCCGTTTCTATAGCTTATACCAATCCAGAAGAGTCTCTGAGATTCAGATGACAAAGGAAATGAAATACAGAAACGGATGCTACCTGAGAGCTCTTTACTGGCTCTTAGGCTAATGAGTCTCGGTCAGGCCCATCCCTGAGGATGAGTGGCTGCCACAGATTCTGTAGCCTGAGAACATGAGAAGTGATTTCCTTTGGATTTCACCCAAACCTCTCTTCTCCACAAATCAGAAAAGATCAGAAATAAGATAATGACTTTTAAAGAAAATAAATGAAATAAACAACAGAAGGCATTCCCAAATGGCTTCAGTACATGTTTAAATACAGTAAGGTGAAAGGATGAAATTAAATACATCGTGAGGAATTGAACTGTCTCGGAGGAACGGGGCAGCACACTTCATCTTAGAGTCTTAGAAGACTGTGTACTCAGTGATATGGCTAAGTCTTGTCCCAGCAGCTATGAAAGACAGAGAAATATAAAAAGATGGATTGCAGGGGGACCATCCCCTTGTAAGATTGTATTTCCTCTTTTAAATATAAGGATGAATTTTAAAAGGGAAATCCAGGAGATCTGTGCAATAACTTTCCCAAGTATCAACCTGCGTTTGATATTTGATTCTCTTGAAAATTTTCTCATTGAAACTTCTTGTCTTGGCTTCCATGATTTTACTTTTGTTCTCCTGATTCTGCCATGATATCACAGCCCACCCTTTCTTTTCATTTTGCTGGCTCCTTTCTCTCCTTCTGTCCCCTAGGTTTTGGCTTCCCCTGAGTTCAGACCTCTCACCTTAGATGACCAGCTCTTCCCAAACATTTCTGTTATCTCAAATGGCAAATTTCACTCCACCCTCCTTCTCAGGACTCCAGTTCCACATTCCTACACATTGCTAGACATTTAGACAGATGCTCCATATTGATTTTTCTCACAGGCTTATGAAGGGTTTAGAAGGTCTAATTAATTAATTAACTACAAACAAAATGTTGGCAGATCTGGCATTGTTGGACTTTCATTTCTACACAGCAATAGTCACCGGGAGCTGAGTGGGAGCTGAGCCTTTAGATGGACCACAAGCTGCCCAGGCCATGGCTCCCACCCCCCATCGTCTTCTATCCAGCAGCTTTTTTATTTGCTTTACCCACTCTCTACTTGCAACCATTTGAATTTGTGTTCCCTGTTACAGAAAACATGTCTAAAACCACTTTTAAAAATACCACTTTAAAAAAATAACTCAACTGCCTGAGATGCTGGCATTCTAATCATAGTGCCATCTTTCTCCCAGATTCCCAGGCTTCAAATCAAATCATTCATTATTTAAATCATTTGTGATTCTCTCTTCAAATGTTCATAAGCACTTTTAAAATGAAATTCTATGTTTCCTGCCTTATAGACAATTAATAGAGTGATAACTCATTTGGAGACCTAAGGTGTCATCCAAATGCTTCATTTAACGGTCTTGCCAGTTCTTCCTTATTCATGTCTGCCACAGACCTTCCTTTTCCATTTTTATTGTTGATATGTCATCTCAGGTCTTCTCGCCTTATCCTTGAGCTCCAAAAAGAGCCTTTTGTTGTTGTTGTTGATGCATTTTCTGGTTATAAATGTGGGCAAAGGGCTAATAACACCCTTGCACCTGGTAAATGAGAATCTGACCTTTGGCTTACTCTGACTCTGGTTCCCTGGAAATATGAGGAAGGATTTCAACTATGGTACTTAGTAACACTGAATGTGGTAAAAATAACCTCACTGGCTCACTGCACTTGGTGGAACTTCAAATACTGGATGGAGATAAACTATGCTGGGCTTCCTAGAATGCAGTGACTCCTGTGACTGCATGCTCTTAGCAGGACTGCTAGAAGCTGTGTCTGTGGTGCTATTGTAAAGATGATGGCTCCTGTGGGGCTTTAAAGCTAGAGCAGCTCCTGTACCTGCCCGAAGTGTCTGTCTCTTGGCACCTAGGCGGTCCTGTTGTAGGGCTGCACGGCTTCAGCCAGGGCTAATGGAGGCGTGGAGGCTGGTGCTGCCCTGCCCTTCCGAGTGGTTTGCATGTGTGTGTCTAGAATATTCAGTGAAGCTGAAGAATGCCCCCACCAGTGAGGACTGTAGAATAGTTAATAAATTCTCATTCTAGAACACCTGTAAAACACAGAAAACTATGCATAAAGTAATAAAAATTGTCCAAATGATCACAATTTAATAATAACCAACAATACCATAGGTATTTCTTTCGGTTTAAAAAAATAGTTATATATACACTTATGTTTGCACATTGCATATATGATTTCTTAAATTACTTTTAATATTCCATATTATCTAATGAGACTTCTCTGATTTTACATGTTATAGATTACTTCCCATCACCTCCAGGAGAAAAATCCAAATTCTTTAGACTGCCATTCAAAACCTCACCCAATGGGGGCCCACTTCTTTTTCACTGGCTCTTGGCCTGCTCTTCCTACCTGTCTACACTCTGTCTTTCACCTAGCCCACACTTTAGCTCGTATTAAGACTTCCTGTACCAATCCTTGCTTAAAAAGGAATCTTTCCACCTTCTGAATTTATTGTCTGTGGCACTGGCACCTTCATGCTTCTTAATGTTTTAGATTTCTTTTTTTGATATGTATTTGTACGTCTGTATCTACATCAATATCTACACACCGTACCTCTGCCTCCTTCCGGCTGAAATGTTCCTGAGGCCAAAGATGGAGACAATTTACATGCCTCCAGGGAAACTAACGCAGGGCCCTGTTCACAGCGGATGGTGTATGTGGGGGGGGGCTGTGTTTTTTTTTTTTTTAAGTTGAGGACTGTAGACAGTTAAATTTACAAACAGTATGAATGGATTAGTTGAAAACAATAATTTTGAAGCGTACCTGTTCTCCACTGAGTGTCTGGAGAATGCTGATGTCTCCATCTTCCATCCTGTAGATGATGACCTGGCCTGTATGATTGTATCGCGGCTGTCCGGCAAGGTAGAGCACATCTCCAGGGACAGTGGCAGAGTTTACTGTGTAACCTAACAAAAGAGAGACACCAGGTGTACTCGCTGGCCCCTTGGAGTGTGCACGGAATAAGTTAAGCTCCATTTTAAACGGTAGGGAATCATTTTTCTGTGTTTATATGGACTTTTCTCTCTCTCTTTTTTTAAATATATAGTTTAATGCAGATAAGTTTGTTTTGGTAGGAGCTTTTAGTGTGCTCCCTGATAATCTACCCTAACTGCTTTGTCCTCAAAAGGTATTTTTCCCTAACCTCAGTTTTTCATTATTTTAAAGGCATTAGTGATATAACAACAACAGAAAACACACACACACACACACACACACACAAACTCTTGTAGTCTCAATTTACTCCTTTGTACCAAATCAATTGTATTTCATTTGGATCCATGTGTTTGTACTATACAAATTGATAATTGATCATTTTATACAGTTGGAATCACAGTAAATGTAAACCTCTTCTGTACTGCTGCCTAGTTTTTTAATTGTAACGTTAAATGGTTGAAGCTTATTTCTCTGAGTTAAGGTATGAATACATTCTGTTTATACTGCAAGACCATTCCCTGATGGAATGGTGGAATTTAGGTGGTTTTTAAATTTTTTGGCATTACACTTAAGCCTGCAAAGACATCATCGAGCATTTAATTTGTTTTCTTTCTTTTGGATTTTTTTGACGATAAATTTCAAGGAACAGATTACTAGGTCAAATTTTAATGGTTCTTACAGTATATGGCAAATTGTTTCCAGAACATTTATACTAGCATGTATACTATTCCATGAACAGCCATCTAAGAGAGTAGTTTCACCAAACTCTCACAAACATTAGGTATCATTACTACAATTTAAATTTGTGGATGTTCTGATGGATGTTAAACAATCTACCAATATCACCTTCCTGTGACTGAGATTTTCATTTGCTTAATTAAAAGTGAGCTTGAATAGCTTTTCATCTTTAATCATTCCTCTTTTTAATAAGGGTTTCATGCCCTTTAAAAATTTAAAGTATGTCTTTAAGGAAGATTATTATTAATTTTTGAGTGAAGAATTAAACATTCTTTGTATCTCCAGAGAATAGAGCTAAATCAATAGATAAAAATTACCACATGCAGATTTCAACTCTACAAGAGGAAGAAATGTTCCAATAACCAGAGTTGACCATCACTGGAGCAGAGGGCAAATTATTTTTCAAAATGCCACAGAACAGCATTTCTTACTGAGAAAATGACTATATTGATAATTTACTTACCAAGTATATTTTACCATAAGACAACAGTTCCACTTTCTTATAAAACTTTTAAAAAGACACAGAGGTTTTGTACTAAAATATGTTTATCCTTACAAGTGCTAAAGGAACACAATTCCTCAGCCATATTTTCCTTCATGAATATTTTTCTCACATTTTCATTTCTTCATCCATCTTAGAGCTTTTAAAAAAAACACTATACATAATAGACTATAAATTTAATAGTTTAGTATTAATAGTATTAATTTAATAATTTAACTGTAAATAGACTATTATTTTTAAACATGTAATATGTTATATTTTTATGTTACTAACCACAATATTGTTGAAAAAACAAAAACTTTACGATCAAGTTTATAACATAAATAAAACGGAGGAGAATATGCAAAACAAAGGCTGCTTTATTTCATGTTGCTACTAAGAAATATGAACAAGGGAATGGGATGAGTTTAGGATACATTGATTTGCTTTTTTTTGCAACTTTCAGAGCTATGAATGCAAACTGATAAAAGAATCTTTAAAAAATAAGTTGAAAACTATGTTTGAGGCTTGGAGTTGTGTGATTATTTAACTCACTTTGATGAGTCACACTCCATAACTAAAACTATTAGACGAACTCTTCACAGGGGCAGAAACAACCAGTGAGGCAGTCCTGGCTGAAGCTCTGGCGTCCAAAGACAGTGAAGAGGGATTGAGAAGGGGGTCCCAGGAAAGTCGAGTTTTAGTAAAAGGAAAATCATTATAAAGATTTAAAAGCTTAACATCACTTTCTGAAAAAGAAAGGCACACATTTGAAGAGAAAGAAAAGTTTCTGGTGTAGCTGTGTGTGTGGATTTATAAAGAGTGACTCCTGTCGGCTCTCGTGAGAAAACTGCGAGGATCTGGTGAGATAATGGGAAACAGGTATGATCTGTCTGAATCTCATGCGTTTGCCTCACGTCTGTACTTTTTCTTTGGCGTTAGTCAGGCGTGATTAGCAAACTGTGGGTGGGGGAGGCAGGGAACACAATTTTATCAACTGGATTGTTACAGCAAAACCACCTGCTAAGCACATATGGGCAGAAAGCCGTCACTGGGTTACAGAAAGATGGGTGCATGACTACCCAAAGGGAGGTTCCACAGCTTCAATTACTACTTCTTTCTGATCACTAGTGGTTAGGTTGGGATTTTTTACAGACTATCTATTTCTTACTCTGTTTCCTCCATATGAATTTTCATAGTCTAACAACTTGCAGTCCACACAGATTTCAGGTGAACACGTTCAATCTCTTCTTAGTTTGTGACCCACGTGAGGAAACATTTTGAAAACCTACTTTTAGATTTAGAATAATATTTAGGGGGAAAAAGCTGTTTTTCTCTCCTGAATTCTTTCTTTCTTCCTGTCCTCTCTTTCTATTTTGAAATAAATCTTACATATATTTGACTTTATTTATGTTGGCAAAATGTCTAATGCAGTGACCTGTGACTAAGCTAATGAAATGAGTTCTGAAACAGAAAAAAAAATCATCTTAGCACCCTGTAGACAACACACCTCCAAATTTCCTTTTCTGAAAAGAGAAGAATCATATAAATACTGTGGTCAGGATTGAAGGGTCTATTAATTTTATCTTGCTTGCAGCAATATCTTTAAGTCTTGAGTTCTCTGAGTCTGCTTTAAGGAAACCATTAACCCAAATATTTTTAAAATAATAGACTTAGGGTTCTTTAAGGCTATTTGTTTTTAAGGAATTTAATCACTTTGTCATCATTCAGAATATCAAAAATATTCTAGTGTTATTTATCAAATAACATTATTATTTAATATTTTATTAAATGTGCTGTTAAAATGTGTGAACTTCCTTAGAGTAGTGACAATGTCACTCACATCTTTGTGGACTTCACACAGTGTCTTTAATGTTGTAAATATTCAGTACTAATTAGTAGCAGTATTAATGTCAGCTACTGTTAGTATTTTATGTAATATACTTGTATTAGTCTATTGCAGCTGTAACAAATTATCACAAATTTGGTGGCTTAAAACATCACAAATTTTTTTATCTTATAAAGTTGGAAGTCAGACCTAGGTCTTCCTGGCTAAAATCACAGCGTTGGCAGGGCTGGGGTCTTTCCAGAGGCTCTAAAAGGGAGTCCATTTCCTTGCCCATGGTACCTTCTAGAGACCACTCACATTCCGTGGCTTGTGGCTCCCCTTCTCCATCTTTAAAGCCAACAATATTGCATCTCTATGACCATTTTTCTATAGTTCTATCTTCTGGCCACAAATAGTAGATCTTCTCTGATTTAGGAGCCCATGTGATGAGACTGGGCCCAGCCAGGATATCCCAGGATAATCTCATCTCAAGATGCTTAACTTAATCACACCTGCAAGGTCCCTTTTGACATATAAGATCTGGGTCTGGGGATAAGGACATGGACATCTTTGGGGTCATTATTCTGCCTCTCAGACTACTAATAAGAGGAATGTTTATTATATAACATCACATAATAGTGCAATAACAGGCAGCACCTATTGAGTGTTGACTGTCTATCGAGCATAACACTAAATACTTTATAGGTATTATTTAATTTTATATTCATAACAATCCAAATATACATATAATATATTATAAATAATTACTATATTTATGTAAAATACTTTTTTTAGACATAAGCAAGTTGAGGCTTTGAGAAATAACGTAATTTGCCTAAAGTCATAGCCAGGAGCAAGTCAGAAAACAAACTCAAGTCTCCATGACCTCAGAGTATCTCTGACTGACTGTACGTCCAGTGCCCTAATCACTTCAAGTCTTCAGTATCATGGGATCAGCAGCTTTATAATTTTTATTTTTATGGTTTCATAATGTACCATCAACATTTACTTAACTAGTCCTATACTTCTGGACATTTAGGATATGCCATTTATCCCAATGTCATAAATAATAGTACAATTAAAACAATTGCTCCCATGGCATTTTTTAATTGGATTTTTTTCCCTTAGGCTAGATCCTCAGAAGTAAAAAATTTAGGTCAATGTGGTGTAAACATTTTTATGGCTCTGGATAAACATTGTCAAATGACTTTCCTAGAAAGTAACACTAATGTATATGCCACCATTACATATGAGAATTAGCGTCCTCTGATTCTTCTATCTAGGACGGAAAGAAGCCTCAGGCAAAACTGGTCCTTGATTTCAAGGTGTTTCACGTAGAGCAGTCTTATGGAATCTTAGAACATGAAGACCCTTTAGAAGCCACCTAACCTAACCTCCTGTCCTCTTTTTACACATTCTATGTCATAGCACATATTATACTGATAGTAATTGCTTGGTTCAGTATTGTCTCTCACCCAAAAAGGTAAGCTTCATCAAGGCAGGGATAGATACCTCTTATTTATCTTGTTATTCTCATTTTATAACTCAGTGTTTGGCACACTGCAGGTTCTCACTATCTATAAGTGCTTTCTTGATCAACCCAGAATCAGGCATTTTTGGTACTGCAAAATGAACACTGGAATAAGAATTGAGACCCAGATTCTAGTTTCATACCTGCCACAGGTAGCTGTGATGCAACATTTATATTTCTCTATTTCTTAATTGGGAAAATTAGATGCTTACTATATGCTTTCTAATATTTCTTTAAATGATAAAACTCAATATGAATTTTAATGGCAACCCCTTAATTTTTACATCATAATCCTTCAAATATTTAAAAGACATGCAGTGTACATTTTGTTTTCTAACCATCAATTTCTTCAGGTTTGGTGAGGAGAATGATGGGTAGATGGGGACTGTTTCCAGATCTGTATCTTGTAGATAATTTTTTACTGGCAATCCTAGTTTGGCATTTTCTTTTATAATGTGTAATGCTTAGGACAATGCTTAGAATACTTTAGCTGCTCCTTGCTTAGGGCAGAATGAAATAGGACTTTTATGAGAAATAGACTAGACTTTCATTAGCACATTTCAACATGTCTTAAGGGGTTTTAGCATTCACGTTATACCTGCTGCTTCCTGCTGTATTTTTAATTATCTAAACTCAGACTTTTCATTCTTCTTAAATCCTGCTGACGCTACAGCTTTAATACATGCCCTTGAATAAGATGCGTGGACGTGCTAGTAAACACCTGCCACCTTCTTCGTAAAACAGAAGAAAGCTGGGATAGAGAGAGAAAAAGACTCACCCCTCCCAGGACAGAAAGATCACAGAAAGGAATCCAAACATGCTAAAGTATGACCACTGCACGGTCTTTGTTTTCTTTACCCCTGCACCCCCAGCACCGAAAACGATTCCTTGTGCGGGACAGGTGCCCCCTAAATATTTGTTGAGTGAATGGGGGGGCTAGGAAACCAAATCCTGGGGGTCCTTTCTAACCTAGACTCTCCCAACTGTTTACTGAAATCATCTAGTGATAGAAGAGTCCCCTGGCCACCCCCAGCCGGGCACAGATCCAGAATAAAGTGACATCAGACACACACCTCCTCGTTCTAGACAAGCCTTTGGAAAATCGTTACATCATTGGGTTTAAGCTCATGTGCCTGATTGTGAACAGAAGTATTGAAGAAGAAGCCATATGACAAAATAGATGAAAAGTTTACTTCCCAAAATTAAGACCCATAGAAAGGAACAAAAGATAGAGGATATTTAAAAGAATATGGGAGCCTAATCTTCAGGATATAGGCTGAGTTAAGGTTTCTTTTCCTAACTCTGCTTCCTGTCCACTCGACCTGAAGCACTTCTTGTAGTTAACGAGAATGTCAGACAGAGAGGCCTCAAAAAGTGCAATTATCAGTCCAAATCATTCCCAGCACTAGACAGCCCCTCCGAGAAATGCTCTCCCATGTTCTGTTGTTTTTACTAAGGCTACTCAGAGGTCTGGAAACTTTCACGGGTCCTGGAAAACATCTAACCCTTAGAAATGATCTCTCTTACATGGTTGTATATAGGTATGCTTATAAAAATATGAGAAAATTAAGCTAAGAAAATTTTAAAAACACAAAAATGTGAAAAAGCAACTTTCTATCCATGACATCCAAACTTTACCTAAGTAAGAAGCAAGAGGTTCATTCTTCTTCGTAGACTCAACATTAAAGGTGGTGTTTTGGGGAATTAGGATTTGATTAGCCTTCTGCATGACGACTGTTCCATTCCAATCGTAGGCTCCCACAGCTCCAAGCATGACCCAGTCCTTATATCCAAATAGAGAAAACAACATTTAACAAAAGTAGTAAGAGCAAACACTTACATAGCATTAATACAATAGGTACTCTTCAAAGTGCTTTACATATATTAATTCGTATAATTATCACAATGACCCTTTGGGCTAGATGCCATGATTTTCACCCCTATTTTACAGAAAAGGAAACTGAGGCAGAGCAAATAAAGTATCCTAGGTTATACAGTACAACTGCACATTGAAATGTCAGTATTCCTGTGCAGGGACCATGGTACCTTTTCTTCCGTCAACTACAAGGGATATCTTTTCTAATCTTGCCTTTTTGCCTTGTGGATGCTAAGAATCTGGGTCTTGAACATGGCGTTCCAGCAAGACCCTTGGGTACCTCAACACTGAAAAAAATATACATTTTATATTTTTAGCCACTATATTAAATTAAATATTTATTTAGCTAGATGTAGATTTACAGAAAGCAGACCTTACACTGTCTGATTTGCAATTATCAGTACAATATAGTGAGCTGTGTAACATAACATTTTTTCCTAACAAGACGCTTATGAAATAGTGTTTGCCTATTTGGACTGGAAACAAGTGAACTGCAAGTTGTGCTTATAATGCTGATACCTTGGTATTGGGTTTGGGAAAGGAAATCTCAAACAAAAAGATACTTTATTTTCTACCAACTGGGTGACGTACCTGTGAATAATGAGCACTGAAGCCCGTCTGAGACATTTCCATCTCAAAAGAAGCGGCTGACTGGTCAGCTGTAGCTGTAATGTAGAAGAATTGCCTTAAGCACATTGCTGATTTACAGAAGACAGAAACCTGGTACAGTCTGTGGTCTCTACCAACCAGAACTTCTAGCATCTTTAGGACCTTTTTAGCCACACATTTCTCAACCCCAAATTCCTAGGTAGCGCTGGGCTGGGTGGAGACACGGAAGGTTAGCAGAAGGGCTGAGGTTCACATTCTTGACCGCTCGCTTCCCCACTCTTGCTGGAGGACTTGAGACATCTATCCATGCTTCTGTTCTTCTCTAGTGGGCTTGTGTAGGCTCGTCCTCTGGTGCTTTGGATCCACGTGGTTGAAAGCTCTGTGCTTACCCTCACTCCTGACACGTTAGGCTAAACTTACCTGATAAGTCACAGGACTGACAACAGTTGATTCACAGATTTAAATAGGTTTCTTGACTCTACCAGCCTCACCCATATTTCCTGCCATCTTTCCTCTTAGAATTGCATTGTTTGATAGAGGGTTTAGGGATTCTGGGTTTGTATTTGCTCTAATGTCTGGCTGTGGGTATCACTTCCAGAACAGGAGGGGACTTTCCGACAGGGCTCTGGGACACATGGCCATTCCAATCACACATTTTTAAAAGATTCTGTACCCTCATTGAAGCTCTTTACTGACACACAGAGCTAATCCACAGTATTCTATGGGAGTGTGCTACCTGCAAAATATTTACCAACCCAAAGTCACAAGCTCCCGAGGGGATTAAGGGAATGTTGATTTATTTACTTTTGGAGGGAGTTACTGATTTATTTGGCCTTGCCAATAAGTTAAAACTAGCACATACTTTTAAGAGAGTCAAACTGCTCTTTCATCGAAGCGTGACAGCAATCAAACTTGTGAAATCAAACTTATTTACTTGTTATTTACTGGCATCAGTTTGTTAACAAATACATCAGTAATTGACTTTTTATAGGACTAGATTAAATGGGGGAAATCAATCAAACATTCAAATACATTATTTTAATCTCACATACAAAGTGCACTTTAGCTTTAATTTAGACTTTAATTTTATGTCCACAGTGCTTTCAGGTGCTTTGCCATTTGTCTCTGAAAGATCAATTATGAGAATGCAGTAGTAGAGACCTATGTATTTCCAGCACCTTCCCCTGCTGCTTTTCTGTTTACAACTGAGAACAGAGAGAAGGACATTCTGTGAAACCCTGCCTGCTGAATCTGCACAACGACAAAAGACACTGCATCCCTGATACTCCTCGCTGGACTTGTTCCTGGGTGTTGCAATAACTACTGTAATCTGTGTGCAGCTTCTGGTGAGGAATTTCAGCATTTCTCCCAGTACGTGATGGGAAAGGGAGACACTAGATCATTTTCTGAGTTCATCGGGCAAAGAGCTGGCCTGCTTACCTCACTAGGTGGCACTGTCCTTCGAAAAGCATGATTTTCATAATTGCTGCTATTTGCCATCTAAAGATAAATGTTGCTAGGAAATGGAGATTTCCTAAGTAACAAAGAAATGAAGCCCTTCCTGACCTCATTATGTAAAATGTCAGAAACGGGCTAGTCAAAACACTGTTCGAGTTGGCCCTAAAACTGCAGCAATGAAGATATGGGAGACATTTTTAATCTGTGGAGTTTCTTATAAGATACTTTGGTTTTTAAATATGAAGACTTCTTGGAATATGTAGGTACTCCAATGTATAACCTTTAACTCACAGTGTGGTTAGGTTAGAAAGAATCTGAAAATGTCATGTAAGGCAAATTGACCCCTCCCCCACCCAACAGCTGATACAGGCTTCATTTCTACAAGTCTTAGGTCATATTTGCTTGCTTCCTTAAGATGAGATTTAGAAATGAGACTGTGTTTAACTATCTACTGTAACTAAGTAATTTTTCTTTTAAATGATCTTTGCAGATTGTTTTATTATATCTGGTTCATGTTATTAAAAATCAAAAGTGCACAATGACTTGGAAAACCTACGATCTTTCCTTAAGGCCAGCTAAGCTCATAATTTGGCCTAATAGTCAATGATACAGGCTGGCTGCTGTGAGACTAAGGCCACTTAAAAATGGCTTGTGCACAGAACATAGGACAGCCAAGTTCTCTAGAAGCAGCTGTGACTTCAGACTGATAAATAAGGTGAGTGTTCTGTTTCTAAAGGCAGAGGGGAAAAGGAGCCAGGGCAAAAGGAAACCAGAAAAACTCAGTCTGGATGGGCTCTGGACCCCCGTCATCTTAAAACAAACTTCCCACTTAGAGGTTGTGGTCAAGTCATGAAATCAACAGGGTGAGTCATAACCAGCATTTGTTTTTAATTGAAAGAGAATAGAGGTGCCTGCAGCCTGGATGGTCCTTGCTGAGATAACCTCTCTTTAAAAATACACTATTGGAGAAAGCAGCCAAGATGGTGAAGTAGAAGGACCCTGAGCTCACCTCCTCTCCGGAGCACACTGAAATCACAACTAACTGCAGAACAATCACTGATGTAAAAGACCAGAATATACCAGGAAAGATCTACCACTAAAGACATAAAGAAGGAACCACGATGAGATGGCTAGGAGGGACAGACTCATGATATAATCAAACCCCATGTCCCCTGGGGTGGGTAGCCCACAAACTGGAGAATAATTACATTGCAGAGGCTCTCCCACAGGAGTGAGAGTTCTGAGCCCCATATCAAGGCCCCCAGCCTGGGGTCTGGCACCAGGAAGAGGATCCCCCAGAGCATTCGGCTTTGAAGGCCAGAGGGGCTTGCTGTCAAACAGAAAAAAGAAAAAATAATAGAAAGAAATAAGAACAGTTTAAGAGACTTCTGGGACAACATCAAGCATGCTAATATTCATGTTATAGGTTTCTCAGAGGGAGAAGAGAGAGAGAAAGGGCCTGAGAAAATATTTGAAGAGGTAATAGCTGAAAACTTCCCTAACCTTGGAAAGGAAACAGTCATGCAAGTCCAGGAAGTGTAGAGTCCCATACAGGATTAACCCAAAGAAGAACACACCAAGACACATTATAATGAAAATGACAAAAAATAAAGATAAAGAGAGAATATTAAAAGCAACAAAGGAAAAGTAACACATAACATACAAGGGTACTCCCATAAGACTATCATGTGGTTTTTCAGCAGAAATTCTGCAGGCCAGGAGTGAGTGACATGATACACTTAAAGTGATGAAAGAGAAAAACCTATAGCTAAGAATACTCTACCCAGCAAGACTCCCATTCAGATTTGATGGAGGAATCAACAGCTTTAAAGACAAGCAAAAGCTAAAAGAATTCATCACCACCGAACCAGCTTTACAATAAACGCCAAAGGAACTCCTCTAGGTGGAAAAGAAAAAGCCACAATTATAAACAAGAAAATTAATAAATGGGATGATTCACTGATAAAGGCAAACATACAATAAAGTTAGGAAATCATCCACACACAAAGCTAGTAGGGAGTTTAAAAGACAAAAGTAATAATATCTGTATCAACAATACCTACAGACAAATGAAAACAAAAACACAATGATCCAAAACTTACAGCATGCAGCTACCATATGATTCTGCAATCCCACTTCTGGGCATATATCTGGAGAAAACTTAATTTGAAAAGATACATGTACCTCGATGTTCATAGAAGCACTATTTACCCTAGCCAAGACATGGAAGCAACCTAACCATCCATTAACAGATGATTGGATAAAGAAGATGTGGTGTATATAGGTGTGTGTATATAATGGAATATTACTCAGCCACAAAAAGAATGAAATAATGCTATTTGCAGCAACATGGATGGGCCTACAGATTATCACATTAAGTGAAGTAAGTCAGACAGAGAAAGACAATTATCACATGCTATCATTTATATGTGTAATCTTTAAAAATGATACAAGTGAACTTATTTAAAAAACAGAAACAGACTCACAGACATAGAAAACAAACTTATGGTTACCAAAGGATAAAGGGGAGGTGGGGTATAAATTAGGAATTTGGGATTAACATAGATACTGCCATATATAAAACAGACAAACAACAAGGACCTACTGTATAGCATAGGGAACTATAATTCAATATCTTGTAATAACCTACCTAAGTTTCAGTGATTCAGTTTTATATATATACACAGAGATATAAATATATATATAACTGAATCACTTTGCTGCACACCTGAAACTAACACAACAGTGTAAATTACACCTCAGCTAAAAAAGGTTAAAAAAAAGAAAGAGAATAGAACAGAAGTGATGAAGAATTATCAGAGTGAATTGCAGATGATAAAGCTTTTCCTTGAAATTTATTTTTATATGTATACATATGTGTACATTGGGTAACAAAGCAAAATATATTCATTATCATGAATCATTGCCAATAAAAGTTTGAAAGCTATCACTGTAAATCATTTCCTTTCCTTTCTATACCTTTTAATATTCTTTGTCAGTCACTTTTCCCAGTCACAATGCTCAATCAAAATGGTCCACCTTTTTTCAGTTACGTCTCTTTCCCATTTTATCTTTGTATTTCCCATTATCAGGTCGTATCAGGGAGACTGAGAAGGTCCTTGTAAAGTTCTATGTTTAAGTTGAAAAACAACAGTCCTTGGTGTGTCCTGTGCTCACAGGCAGCCTCGGAGCGGAACTAACTAGTGGTTTCTCATCCTAGGCTGAGAAAAGAGGGCGCGTTCTCGAAGTCTCCAGATTATCAGAGAATGTGAAGAAAGAGGCTTTTTCAGTTTGCCTGGCATAACAATCCTGAAAACTTTTTTTTTGTCAGGGGAGATCTAGTTCCAAGGTAATTTGTTCCTTGACATCTTCTACCTAAGACAGTGGAGGGAATTCTGCGACTCATTACCCGAATGGAAAACGGCCATTAAAATAAAAGAAAAAATTTACAAATACAGTGAACTAATGTTTCGCTGCCATGGGTCTTGAGGCAGAGTTCCACGAAGACCTTTAAGACGGGCAAGGAGCAAAACAGGAGAAAATAAATGAACAAAGAAGTTATTGTATAAAAACCGTCCCATAGAAGCCCAAAGTGAAAAACAAAAACGAAGACTTGAGTTAGTGCCTCCATGTTCTAAACCTGTGTCGCAGAAAAGGAATAAAACACACGGGCACATTTTTGTTCTTGCGCCCCGACGCTGACTGCTGTCGGCGTCCGGCTCTCACATCAGCCGTGCCGTGTCCTTATAAAGAGAGCTTCCAGCAAACACAGTGCTATGTGAAATAGCCTTCTTAATGACAGATTTTTATAATAGGGTATTATTCCATGGTGGCTGTTGTACCCAGTAAAAACACATTAGCTATGTGATAGAAATAAACAGCAAAACCCATCACGGTGCATTTGAATTGTTGAGAAGAACCCTCAGGCTTATGAGGAAACAGTCATACCTTCCAGGGCAAATATTCTTTCTCCCAGAGCTTCAACAATAGTGACTAGTGCCAGTTCATCAGAGACATTGAAGAAATGCTTTTCCATGGGTTCACTTGCAATTGATTTTATTTCCTCCACAAATTTTTCAGTGCTTATATTTTCACGCCTGTAGTTGCCAAGAATCTAAGACACAACAAACAGGGCAAAAACATTTTTAAAATTCTGTATGTTAAACATGAATGACAAGTGTTTTGTCGATAAACAAGAGTGTATAGTACTGTGGCATAATTGTGGCACAATTTTTATGTGCTTCCACATTCTTAGAAAAATACTTTTCAGAATATGTAGATGCCCTAGTATTAACTGTTATATACTGTTAACTGCTGTAGGAAAATATAAAGGGCAATCTTGTATGTTTATGAAAGTTTCTTCTCTTGCATTCCTGTGTCCCTGTTTATTAATAGTTGTATCGTTAAAATCTGACAGTTCAAAAGTACTGTTATGGTTTCTGAATGTCTCTGATATTATCCTAGTGACATCACCATTTTCTGGCAAAAGCAATAAGCAAGTGGATTGCTTGATCTTGAATAGGCAGTATTTTCTGAAAATCTTACCAAAGGGCAATCAGACATGTATATTTTTGAAACAGATGTTTGGGACTAAGTAGAAATCTAACTTGGCAATCTAAAAAATAAACAACTGGGATATTCCTGTTTGAAACAAAATGCTCAAGACAAGGGCTTTCTTTTTATTTGGCAAGAGAGAGAGGCAGGAATTATCTGCTAAAATTAACTAAAATTTAGATGTTCTAGCAGGTTTTCTCAAACATTTATTTTATTCTTTAAAGTAAGGTTTATTGAGATGAAATTTATATACAATAAAGTTTACCCCTTTTAGATGTACAATTCTATGACTTTGACAAACCTGTACAGTGGTGTTACCACCACGTGGAGATTAGAATATCTCACCCCCCAAATTTCCCTCTTGCCCCTTTGTAGTCAGTCTCCTCCTCCCCTTAACTCCTCACAAACACTGATCTATTTTCTGTCCTAATAGCTTTGCTTTTTCCAAAATGTTAAATTTAAGGAATCACACAGCATGTACCTTTTGAATCTGGTTTCTTTCACTTTGCATAATGCTTTTAGAGTCATCCATGTTGTCACCTGGATCACTAATTCAGTCTTCTGTATTGCTGAGCAGGATGCCATTGTAGAGATGCATAATTTATTTGTTGAAAACATTTGAGTTGTTTTCAGTTTGAAATGACTATGAATAAAGCTGCTATAAATATTGGTACTCAGGTCTTTGTGTGGACATATGTTTTCTTCTGTGTGTAGTAAAGATCTAGGAATGAGAGTGCTGGGTTTTACAGTAAGTGTATGTTTAACTCTGTAAGAAACTGCCAAACTGTCATCCAGAGTAATTGTTCCATGTTGCCATTTTGCCTTTGCCACAAGCTGCGTATGAGAGACCCAGCTGCTTTGCATCCCTGACAACACTTGGTATTATCAGTTTTACTCTTTGCTTGCTTGTTTCAATTATAGCAATTCTACTGGTGTGTGTAGTGGCATCTCATTTAATTTACATTGCCCTGATGGCTGATGATATTGAGACTTTTTCATGTGCTTATTTGCCATAGTATTTCCTTTTTTGGTGCGGTCTCTATTCAAATCTCCTGCTAGTTAAAAAAAAATGGATTGTTTATTTTCCCATTATTTAGTTGTGAGACTCTGTATATATCCCGGATACAAGTCCTTTATGTGTTTTGCAAACGTTTTCTCCCAGTCTGTATATTGTCTTTTCCTTTTACAGTATCATTTGAAGAGTAGACTTTTTTAGTCTTGATGAAGCCCAACTAATCTTTTTTTTTTAATGGTTTGTTTTTCTTCCTAAAAATTTAGTTGTTAAGGTAAACATTTCTTAAAATTTAGAAATGAATATGAAAATGTTCCAGTTAAAGTAAATGAAAAAAATCTTACAAAAAAAATATGTAAATTAAAAAGGCAAAAAAAGTAAAAAAAAAAAACTCAATATGCAGATAGGGCATTTCTATTTTTTTAATTGCATAAAGATGGCATTAAGAAAATGGCATTATGGACATTTAGAAAAATAGGAAGATTTTTAAGGAAAAAATTTGGTAGAATGTGTACCGTGTTTTCTTATTTTTTATTTCTATTAGATTGTGTTTCCTTCTAATTTGTGCTTTAATTTTTTTTTATAATTTTTTCAGTAAGAACATTACTTTTGTAATAAGAGAGAAATATTTCATTTTTACCTCATTGCAAGTGTTACCTGAAGATTACCACCTCGGTTTTTATATTTTTTTAATCAGCAGTTATGGCTCCATTATTTATAATAATCCACACTGGAAATGACCCAAATGCCCATAATCAGTAGAGTGTAGAACAAATTGTGGTATATATAATGGGTAAGAAAAATAAAGAATGAATCATTAGTACAGAAAATATCATGGCTATTTGCTATGTCGAGTGAAAAATTAAACACTACAGAGCAGAGACTGTATGATTTCGTTTATATAAAATAGAAAAGGCAACCGAAGCTATGGTGGTAAAAGTCACATCAGTGGCTGTGGAAGGTGAGTATTAAAAGTGAAAGAAAGCACGAGGGAACTTTCTGGGGTTGATGGAAATGTTCTCTGTCTTAATTAGTGTCAATTACGTGGATGTGTACAACTGTGTACAACTGTCAAAACTCATCAGTTGTTCACTTTGTACACAGTGTTCACATTGAAATTTTACATTTCACTGTGTTACTTCAATTTTGAAAAATTAAATGACCTATAATGCTATGGAAAAATATGGAGGAATCTTAGCAAGAGTAAGTTTTAAAAGTTTTGAAATATTGTATACAGCATGATAGTCTTTTTATAAAGTTAAAAATAAAGAACCCTTTTTAAAATTTTTTTCAGCTAGTACAGCTATCAAAAGACTGTTTAGAAAGAGCAAGAGATGATAAGTGCAGGATGTGGGCTGATGGTTACTAGGTGGAGCAAGGCAGGTGGTGAATGTGGTCAGATGTAAGTTGTCAGAGAACCAAGCTAGGGTCTCATTTTGGGTAGTATGTCCGTGGATGCTTATAATGTTATTAAAATAAGTATGCAGGTACGATTATAAACACAGAAACAAATAAAGTGGGCCATGCTTTGACAATGATGAGAAAGGGCAAGAAATACTGAATCTGTGGCCAGATACAATGTAAGAGTGGTATAAGATTAATTTAAAATTAAGAAGCAGTCCATGGATAGAAACTTTCCACTGAAGTCTTTCTAATGCTGTCAATGCTACTGATGCTCATGGCCCACATCTTTGGTGCCTGGAATGCTAGACTGTATTCTCTGGGGGAGGCCAAACAGATGATGGCACTTTTGATACCTAGTTGTGTGGGACAAATAAGCCTTCATGAGCTTTGCATACTAAAGAGACCAGGCATTGACTCCAATTGTGGATGGTATCTCTGCGTGAAGCCTGGACCACATGGAATTATTCTCAGCCACAGAAAAGATCAAAATGCTTACAGTAACAGGGGAGGTAATAATGTATTGAATAATAGTTGGCACAAGATAACTTACAGAAGTAACAACAAAAGGAAAAAAATATAATGGGATGTTTTAATTTTTTCTGTTACATCTTGTACCCCAAATGAAAAAGAAAATGTTGCAGTCAGAAGTTATCATTGTTTATAACCTAGTCATCTTGTTTATAAAATAAGTAGAGTCCCCTTGCCCCAGGGGAGCAGTGAGCCAGTTGTGTGTTCTGGGGTTTCATCAGGGATGAATCTTTTTCTTCACTACCTACAATTGGCTGTCTTTCACTTTTGAAAGGAAAGAAGGAAATCTCACTGACTAAATGCTGAAAAGCGATTGTGGGCGATATCAGTTATTACTTACTATAAATAAAAGATTTTGCTGAAAGACAATTTCAGTTGTACACTTAGAGTTCTGAAATGTTTTGTTCCCTGACTTTTTGTTTTAAATCAATGTTTATTAAGACTTTCTAGTCTCTGGGGGAAAATCTGAAGGTTTCTGAGTAAGGGGGCAACATAATTTATCTCTAAGGTTCCTTCTAATTTGAAAACACTATTTTGTTTTATTTTTATTATATCATGGTTGCAAACTCCTCGAGATAAAGATCCTTAAGGAAAATAATATTTATTAGTTGCCTAGCCTGCATTGTGCTACATGTTTTCACAGTCATGTCTCACCAATTCTCTGAGACAGAGAAAGAGAAATGGTATTATTCTATTTAATAGAGGAAGTTGGAGTACGAAGTCACTTACCCAGTGCCACACAGCCCGCACATGGCAAGGGCAGAATTTGAACAAAGGTCTTTCTGGCTCCAAAATATAGTTCTCCTCTGCCCTTTCCCTACCCCCACCCTTCTGCTTCTCATTTCTGGCAAATGTCCACAAGTCCTTTGTTGTTTAAGATTGTGACACATCAGTGTCTCTGTGCTGATGTCTTCTTTGTTCTGGTGAAAAGCAGAGTGGAAAGGACTGTGGTGCCCTTGGGAACACATGGACACAGGTGATGATGGCTCTGCAGCACCATCGAGAGACCGGTGGCAGCATGAGAGAAAACGGGGAAGACCAGCCCAGGGCAGTGGGTCATAAGATGAGTCAAGGGGGGAGTCTGGACTTGGCCATGTGGCCTTCAGCCGAGGGCCTGCTGGACCTTGGTTTCCTCATTCATAAAATGGGGAAAGTGAAAGATGTCCTACATTCTTTGGGGGTGCCATGAGGGACAAAGAAAGGTACGTAGGACACAGGTATGAAAAGCCACTGTAGGTTACAAAGTGCTGTATAAGTGGTAATTTAACCACTTTTCCATGTTTGAAAAAGGTGGAATTTTTATGTCTCTTTTTCTGAATGTCCCTCTTCGTGGGGTCGCACCATGAAAACTGAGTCAACTGATTTCACGGAACTATTAGAAGTTGATTTAGAAAAAAAAATCACTAATAAGGGCTATAAAGTATTCAGACAGTCTCTTATTATTTTTTTTTTTTTTGCATTTTGAGGGACAAATATTATTATTATTTAAAAAATATTTTAGACTCTTTTTTTTTTTTTAAACGGAGGTCCTATGGATTAAACCCAGGACCTCACGCATGCTAAGCATGCGCTCTACTGCTGAGCTATACCCACCCTCCCAAGGGACATTTATTATTAATAACAGACTACTTTGTATTGATACAAGTTTGCTCACAAAGAGCACAAATACTTTATATGTAATATTTTCTATGTCATTAAAGGGGGGCTACTTTTTCCATGGAATGAAAGGAAATTTCTTCTTTGCTGATCCTTTGCCCTTCTTGTCCACCCTAAACGCAACTCTAGAGAAAATGTATTTCTATAGCTGTGGGCTGCTTCACTTAGGTGGCACAGTCTGGGGTTATGAAGTGGAGAAGGAATGGCTGCGTACAGAGTGCAGGAGCAATGACACTATCTCGTGATTCCTCTCTGTGTCACCAGTGATGCCAAGAGGTGGCCGGTGCAGAGGAGCACCCGTGACCACAGAACCCCGTAAGAAAGCTGTGCCACAGCAGGCACCCTTCTCCTAAGTCCCAGCGTAGACTGCCCAGGCTAGACAAAACATTAGGTGACCTTTTGCTTCTTCCCTACAACTCAAAGAGCTGTAAGCGTGGGAATATCATAGTAGACTTACAGTAAATTACGGTAAGAGTCACATCCTGCTTTTCCACTCCCCCAGTTTACGGGAAATTGTTGATTAGCAGACAGTTTTTATTTATTCCCTAGCATGTCTTCAGTTTTCGTCTTCCTCCTCCCTCCTTTTCTCCCTCCCTTTCTCCCCCTCTTCTCTTGATCCCTCCCTCCATTCCTCTTTTCCCTCTTCCTCTTTTCCTCCTTTTTTCCACTCCCTATTTCTGTCCCTTTCTTCCTCTCACCTTCCCTTCCTTCCTCTTATGCATTTCTCCCTTCGCCCTCCTTTTATCTTTCTTTCTTTCCTTCCCTCTTTTCTTTCAGTGATTGTTGAGTCTCCGTTTGCCTGGCACTGTGTTGGGCACCAAGGACACAAAATCCTACCCCCCCAGAGTTGACCTCCAAATGGAGAAGTTTCTTTTTTTGTCAAGCTTGTCTGTATAACTTCCAGAAAATAACCATGATCTGTGCTCGGCTCTTCTCTTCACACCGGAGTCTGAAAGCTGTCTCCAGCCCAGTACTTACAGCTATGGAAAACCGCTGAATGCCTTCATCCTCACAGTCCTGGATGACCTGGTTCAGTCGGTAGTTGTCATGGGACTCTCCATCAGTCACAATCACCATGACTTTTTTAATCCCTCTTCGGGCACCCCGGGCTTCAGTGAAAGCCTCTTTCCTGAAATAATCACAGGAACAAAAGAGAAGCAAATAAAACACCACTGCAGGGTTAGGCAAAGTGATAAACAACATGAAGAGGCTGCCAAATCCAGGTGGCCCACTGCTTTCCCTCCGGGATCACGCCCACTGTTCAAGTTGGGAGGCATGGCGCTTGTTATTTGTAATAGCTGAAGATTTACTCCAGATGATGGAGAGGTTACCGTTTGGCTAATCACTATCTATTCCAGAAACAAAAGGCAGCAGCCTGTCATTCTTTGGAAAACTTCAACGGGGTCGGGGAGTGACTGGAGCATAAGTCAGACTGAGAGAAGTTCAGATTTTTAATCTTTTCCCAGCCACTCATTTCTCTGTAAACACTCCTTTCCTTGCTCCACAGGTCTCCTCTTCTGCTTTAGTCCTCACTTCCCCGACACCTACTCTGACATTCGTAGAACAGCGTGGAAATCCTCTGAGCTGCAGAGGGGGTGTCCTGCAGAAAACAGAATATTTGTATGGCTGGGATATGGGGCGAAAATTCAGACATAGGGATGAAAGACTGCAGATGGCAGTGGTCTGAGTCAGTGACAGAGCAGGGCAATATGGGGCAAGAAGGGGTCAGGATAGCTATGAAAGGTTTGGTCTGAATTAGGTTTTAGGACACAGGCTGCTGGGGGTGGGTGGGAGGAGGGGGCATGGAAAAATGCTAGAAACTAATGTCAAAGAATGGAATTTTGATTTAATTCAGTAAGCATTTATGGAAAGAAGTGGAAGATAGGGGAAACTGACAACTGTTGTTTGTTTCATGCCTTCTACACAGACACACAGACACACTCACACACACACACTCACACAC